ACAACAACTACTACTACTACTACTACTACTACCACTACTACTACTACTACTACTACTACTACTACTACTACTACTACTACTATTACAACTACGACTACGACTACTACTACTACTACTACTACTACGACGACGACGACGACGACGACGACTACTACTACTACTACTACTACGGCGACGACGATTACTACTACTCTACGACTGCTCCTACTACGACTACTACTACGACTACTACTACCACCACTACTTACCCGACTACTTCTACTACAATTACTACTACCACTACTACCACTACTACTACTACTACTACTACTACTACTACTACTACTACCACTACTACTACTACTACTACTACTACTACTACTACTACTACTACCACCACTGCTACTACGAATACGAATACGAATACGACTACTACTACTACTACTACTACTACTACACTACTACTACTACTACTACTACTACTACTGCTGCTGCTGCTGCTGCTGCCTGCTACTACAACTACTACGACTACCACGACTACGACTACTACTACTACTACTACGGCTACTACTACTACTACTACTACTACTACTACTACTACTACGGCTACGACGACTACAACTACGACTACGGATACTGCTGCTACGACTACTACTACTACTACGACTACGACTACGACTACTACTACTACTACTACTACTACTACTACTACTACTACTACTACTACTACTACTACTACTACTACCACTACTACTACTACTACTACTACTACTACTACTACTACTACTACTACTACTACTACTACTACTACTACTACTACGGGGAAGGGGGGAGGGCAGGAGGGAAAAGGTAGTCGGGGATCTACTGACCCGGGTCGATACCCTTGGCTGGGTCGAAACGCCCCTGGCTCTGCAGGATCCTGCAGAATCCAGCGCTCCGGCTGACCCCTGTCTGCACCGAGCCCCGCCTCTTGAGCCCCTGAAAGAGAGGGACGGCCGCAGGACGCCGGGAGTGCTCTTCTCTTGCCCCCCACCCGCACCGCACACCGTATCAAGCCCAGCATGCCAGTGGGGTAACCAGGCAAGGAGAAGCAGGAGGGAGAGCGCAAGCAGCGGCAGGGAGGGAGGGAGGAAGGGCCATGGGACGACGGGAGCACCCTTCTCTCCCCCCCGCCCCCCCACCCACACCGCACAGCGCATCAATCCCAGCATGCCAGAGGGGCAGCCAGGCAGGGAAGAAGCAGGGAGGAGCGGGCAAGCAACAGCAGGGAGGAGGGAAGAGCAGGAGGGCCAACAGCACTCGAGGGGAGTGGGAAGGAAGAGGAACAGGGGGAGAAGAAAGAGGGGGAGACGGACGAGGAGAGCGAGGAGGAGGCAGAGAGGGGAGCAGCAGAAGAGCGATGACAAGGACAAGGACGAGGACGACGACGACGACGACGACGACGACGAAAAGACGACGACGAAAAGACGACGACGACGACGACGAAATGACGACGACGACGACGACGAAAAGACGACGACGACGACGACGACGACGAAAAGACGAAAAGACGAAAAGACGAAAAGCCGAACAGCCGACGACAGTGACGAAAAGCCGACGACGTCGACGCCGACGCCGCCGCTGCCTCTGGAATTCTCCGAGAGCCGCCGAGGGCCTCCAGAGGGATCGCAAGGGCCTCCGAAGACCGCCTTCAGTCAACCCGTATAAGAAGGATGCGCGGTAAGGATGCAAGGGCCTTGGAAAGCCATGTTGGCGTTTTCGAGCGGGGCTGGCCAGCGAGTCGCCACGGATCGGCCGAAGGGGCAAGGATACAAGGAAAGTCGCTCATCCTTACAATGCGGGTTGACTGTAAACCTTCGAGCGCCTCCGATCGTCTCCTGGGGCCCCAGGAGACCCCGGGACTCCGAGGGGCTCCGAAGAGCCTCCGGAGGGCCTCTGAGGGACTCCGAGGGACCCTCACACCCGACGGCGAGGGGTCCTGAGCCGTAGACCCCACCTTTCTGCGCCAGTTTTCAAACCGGATCAATATGTGAGGATCCCAGGGCCCGAAGCCAGGCGAAAACGCCCGGCCCAATAAAATTGAGACGCCAGGACCTGAGGGTTTCCGATGGCCTCTGAAGGCCTGCGAAGGATCCAAAGAACCGCCGAAGGCCGCCGAAGGCCTCCGAGGGCCTCCGAAGGTCGCCGAGGACCGCCGGGCAGGCCGCCGGAGACGCCCTCGCCGGTGACCCCTCGGAGCGGCGCGGGCACGGCGGCGTCGCCGCTCGGATGCGCGGGCTCTCCAGGTCGGGCACGCGCACAGGGTGCGCCTGATCGGGGGCGAGCGAGCGAGCCACCAATGTGGAGTATCCTCTGGGCCCACCTAAGGCTAGGCGGGCGAGGCTGAGGCAGATGTGTTGGTTGTAAAAAGACAATCAGTGCATGGATGTAGAGCAGATACCATACCATGACATCACACACGATGCTTAAAATACCTAGAAAAAACGTGCAATCTAACAGTATGGTATAACAGGTTGTAATACGATATGTATGGTATAACAGGTTATCAAACAGTATGGTATAACAGGTTATCAAACAGTATGGTATAACAGTATAGCATGGTCTAAAAAAATGCAACAGTATGGTATTACAGCTTATCAAACAATACGATAGAGTAGGATGTAATATGATAGAGTATGGTACAATGAACTGTAATACACTAGAATAGGATACACTCTATTGTGCTATATTACAACACACTTTAATACAACAAACAAAGATAGAATAAACTATAATACGCTACAATAAAAGAGGCGACTACACAATATCAAAGAATACCATACAATGCAACATGCAAAGTACAAGATACTGTGATATGGTTGTACGGCGTAGTACAAGATGCTGTAATGTAACCGTATATGGTATGTTAGGCTAGGATATTGCATGTTAAGAAGAATATGAAAGGCATGTCAATAGATGATACGAGATCATAGCACACACCATATGACACGATGTGATGTACAATGATATGATGTGTAACAATATGCTAGGATGAAAATATAGTAGCACATATTATAGTAAACAAGCGGGCATCTACTTTCATAGGCAATGGTGTTACCACACATCTGTTGATACTAAGACAAAGTAACATACCGTAGATGTAAAACAGAGCTGGTATGATATAGTAAGGTGGCGTAGCGATTATACCATACCATACTATGATATGGTACGGCACAATGTGGTAGCATGAAATATCACATGATGTAGAGTGATGAATATCGGCTGCTACGTTACCATACGATTTAGCAGATAATACCATACTACAATACGGCATGATGTCACACAATTCTTACACAACCATACCCAACCTAACATAATAAGATGTGGCGCAGCATGCTAAAATAGAACATAGCATGCTGAAAATTATGATGCACCAGCAGAATACAATATAACAACACACTGTATAATCAAATGAAATGAGCTACACTAAAATGCGCGTAAGTACCATACAGATGACACAGGCTGATGTGCCACGATCTACTGTTAGATCGCATTTGCATTCGTATAACACAATATACTAGAGTGCAGTATAATTACTTGTAAAAATGAAAATCATATTACGTAATGCCACATCATGCGAGCTAGAGTTAATCATGTACAGCACACAATTAGATACTGCAATTCAGCGTAATTCCGTGAAAACTCGGGCACACTCAGATATGATAAAACAGTAGATAAGGCACTGTAACATAAGATACTTCTAAATGCCGTAAGATAGTAACGTGAAATGTTATGCTTGCGTATGTGTGTAATTATGCATGTGTATATAGACTGTCGGGTGTGGGAAACAGGCATGCGTCGTACGCCTGATCGAGGGGGGCCAGCTGCAGCACAGGGGAGGAGACGGAGCGTGACCAAGAGTCGAGTAGGCTGACTGGTTACCCCACTTGGGGATGGTGATGCCCTCAGCAGAGGGGGGAGGAGGAAGAGGAGAAGGAGGAGAAGGATGAGTAGTAGGAGGAGGTGGTGGTGGATGAGGTTTCAGGAGGAGGAGGAGGAGGAGGAGGACGCTACTTGGGACGCTGCTTGGGATGGGGGGGGCATGCCTCGTGCCCCCCCCACCTGGAGGAGGACCAGAAGGAGGAGGACCAGGAGGAGGAGGAGGAGGAGGAGGAGGAACGACTACAGCGACCTGGCCCTCAACCGCGGAGAACACAACCACTCGATCTCACCAACAGAGACCAACAAGGAGACCTGCGCTACCGCTGCGAGCCAAGCCGACTCGCCGCTGAGTCCGGGCCGCCTCCCTGGAGTCGCTGCCGACTAAAGCCACACTCGCCCTCCCTCACCTCCCTTCCTCCGCCCAAGAACTTCAAAACCCGGATCCAGACACGGGCGAGAGAGCTAACAATGATTCCTTTTCCTCCCTCCCTCCTCCCTCCTCCCTCCGCGGGGGCCCGCCGACGCACGTTTTGCGAAATCTCAATCAGCGCGGGGGGGCAGGGGCCCAAAAGGGGAACCTCGAACTGGCATTTGAAGCCCTCCACCCCAGATGGCCCCCGAGACCGCCAGCGGGCCCCCGAGGGGTGCCCAAGAGGCCCCGAGAGGCCCAAAGAAGCCACCACGATGCCCCAAGAGAACTCAAAGAGCCCCCCGAGAAGGCCCCCGAGAGGCCTTTTGGGGTCCGACCTACTTATTCACGGTGGCGAGATGGGCCGAGAGCCACTAGAAATGTAACCGATGCCCCATTCCCTTCCCACTACCTCGTTCTCGCGTCTCTTGCCATCCCCATCGCCCCACTCTGCTCCCCCGGAGGCGGCATATCGGAGCTGCGGCCTCATCCCCGACATTCAGGGTGACGCCACCTGCAAGAGGGGTAAGGTCTGCGAGAACACACACGCACACACGCACACGCACACGCACACGCACACGCACACGCACACGCACACGCACACACACACACACAGGCACACAGACACACACACACACACACGCACACACACACACACACACGCGCGCGCACACACACACTTTTGCGTCGGCGGATGGGCAGAGGTCGACTGCTCCGGCGGAAAGGCAACAAAAAACGCGCTGTATGCAAATTAGGGCTGCAATGCACGGGGGGAGGAAAAAACCCGGCGCGACGGGGAGAGAGGAAGCCGGGCCACTCAGAGCTGCCGGCAGCGGCAGGGGGAGCGCCACACACACACAGAAACACACACACACACACACACACACATCAGGCTACTCAATTGTTGTTCGATGCGTGGGCCCCGGAGGTCTGGACCACTTCCCTAGGGCCGGTTGTTCGTCCTGAATCGCTTTTTGACGGTCCCGAGAACTGGGGAGGGGTCCCTGGATTCCGAATTCAGGCAAAAAAAACGCCCGCTCCAATTTGTTTGGAGCGTCGGGTGTCTGGGCACACGCGAGCAGGGAGCAGAGCGAAGTGGGAATGACAGTTGTCTGCTTGCTCGCACGCACAGAACGAAGGAAGAGAAGGACAATTAGGACAAAGACAATGACGACGACGACGAAGACGACGACCTTGACGACGACGACGACGACGACGAAGAGGGACAAGGAGCACGAAGGGGGGACGAGGACGAGGAGGACCAGGGGGAAAATGACGACGACGAGGGGGGACGACGATGACGAGGAGGAAGACGACGAGGACAACGACAACGACGACGACGAAGGGGGACAAGGAGCGTCAGCCAGGGGCAGAAGGAGGGCTGGGGACGAGCCACGGGAGCGGCCTTGGGGCGGAAGAAGCGGACGAGACGAGGCCAGGACGAGGATAAGTTCGAGTGAGCATGAATCGAGAATGTGAACGTTTTCTTCTTCGGCGTTTCGATATTGGGCGGAAGTGGGGGGGGAAAGGGGGGGTCGGCATCCGGACCTCTGCTTTATGCGACTGTTTGCAACAGTGCGTCCGGTGGGGGAGACCCAACCTGCCTGAAACAAGCGCCAAAAACGGCCAAATATCGATTTCATGGTGGGGTTGCGAGGGCCCGCGCCGATTGGCAAAACAATGAAAAAGAAAACGATTACAATCTCCGAGATCCAGCGGCTCTGGAGGATGTCTCGGGCGCCGCGGCCTTCTCAGAGCGTTCTGGAAAATTCTGAGAGCTTTTCCGAACGCTCTGAAACGGGCTTATCATCGTCCTAGCCCCGTCCGAAAGGAGGAGGGACGGAGAGACGGAGAGAAGGGAGCGAGGAGGGAGGGAACGATGGAGGAGGACGCAGACCGATGCGCCTCCCCAGAGATCCGACGCTCCCAAAGAATTGGAGCGGGCGGCTTTTGCCCGACTTCGGCCTCTGGGGACGCTCGCCGGGCCTCGGGACCGCCAACACGCGACTCGGGACGAAAAAACCGGGCCCATGGGGAAGCGGGGCCCACGCAGCGAAAAAATTGGAGCAGCTGGATGTCTGTGCCCAGCAGCCGCCAAGGCGGGCGCTTCCATCTCGGCAGGGCACGGGCCTGCGCACCTCGGGCGAGGGAGCACCCGCCGGCCGCCCTCCGCCGGCGACCACTCGGGAGGAAGGGCGAGGAGGAGGAGTGAGGAGGAGGACGAGGATGAGGACGAGGAGGAAGGACGAGGAGGAAGGACGAGGAGAAGGACGAGCATGAGGATGAGGAGAAGGACGAGAAGGACGAGGAGGAGGAGGGGTGAGGAGAAGGACGAGGAGGAAGGGCGAGGATGAGGGGGAGGACGAGGTGGATCAGCATGTGACCTGAGGGGGGATCCTATCCGCGGCAGGCCACCGGCTCCGTGAGTCCGAGAATCGACGAAGGCGACGGAGGGGTCCACTGGCACATTGCCGGGCCCGTGGCCCTGGTGCGGAAGACTCATGATACGCGCCCGATTGGACAGGAGGAGGAGGAGGAGCAGGAGGAGGAATAGAAGGGGGTGGGTTAGAAGCAAGAGCAAAGGGGGAGGGGCCTCAGAAAAAATATGTGCTTGTGGAACCCTAACTCGGCTTCGGAGAGAGCTGCGCGCCCGAGGTCGACCTCAAGACAAGCGCGTCGCCCTCTCTGAGGTCGAAGCCGACCTCCAAGAGCACGTACAGCTGAAACGCCGAAATGAGAACCACTTTGGACTGAGGGAGGGTTCTAGTCTTCACGCTGCTCCTTATGTAGATCCAGATCGGGAAAACTTTTCGCGGCCAAAGCCCGCCGTGGCCAGATAATCCCCTCCGTTCCTTACTTGACTTTCCTCCACCTCCTCCTTATCCTCCTCCTCATCCTCCTCATCCCTCTGTCCTCCTCCTCCTCATCCTCCTCCTCATCCTCCTCCATCTCCTTCTCATCACCCCTCCTCCTCCTCCTCTTCCTCCTTCTCCCTCCTCCTTCTCCTCCTCCTCCTCCAACTCCTCCCCCTTCTTCTCCTCCTCCTCCTTCTCCTCCTTCTCCTCCTCATCCTCCTCATCCTCAACAGCCTCCTCCTTCCCACTCCTCCTCACTGCTTCTCCTCCACCTCCTCGTCCTCCTCTCCTCCACCTCCTCCTCCTCCTCCTGAATATCCTCCTCCTCCTCATCCTCCTCATCATCATCATCAAGGGGTCGAGGGTCCCCACCCCCAGCAGGGCGCCCGCGCGCGTGCGCGCGATCGGCCCCTGCGCTGCGGCGTCCGCCGCGCTGCTGTGCGCCCTGGGCTGCTCCCCGCGGGCGGCGCTGTGAGGCACCTGGCAGGACGCTTGGCTGGCGACGGCGTACGCCGCCCCCATCGTGGCATCGGAGGCTGCGCAGAGCGAGGGCCTCGGCACGGCACCTGCTACAGGTCGAGGCGGCACGATCACTCCTGGCAGGACATCACGGTTCGCAGCCGCCAGGGCTGTGCATGGCAGGTCGATCGACTAAGTCCAAGGATGCGGTTCAAGTGGAGCCTCGTTGGGCTTGTGCTGCTACTCGCCAATGCGGGTACCAGAAGAACTTCGCCAGCAACAATCGGTGCTACAAGTGCGGCCGGGACCGTGCAGGAAAACCAGACCCAGCTGGCCCTCTTGAGCGACGATCTGGCCGCTCACCAGCTCCTCGGCGCGCGGGCAGCAGGCCGCGCGGAGGCAGCAGCGCCAGAAGGGAACGCTCTCATGCAGATGCTGAGCCCGACGAGCATACGTCTACAGCTGCGGTGTCACGGGCCCGAAAGGCCGTATCAGCGCTCAAGAGGCTTGGCATCGACGAGTCCTCCAGCCTCTTGGTGGCCGCCAAGCGTGAGTTACATGAGGCAGAGGAAGTGGAGCGCGCCAGTCGCACACCCGACGATCAGTTGCGCAGGGCGTTGGACCGACAGCAGCAAAAGACGCGGGAGGTCGAGATCCTCACGGCGGCCGTGGCGGAGCTGGAGCAGGCATTCACCACCAAATCAGCAGAGCTCAAGGTCGCCAAGGACGAGCTGGGCGCCATCACGTCAGAAGTTCAGGTTGCACGAGCTGCTGTCCTGGCCACCTCGGGCACGGCGTCTTCTGTCAGCACTGGAGCTGCATCACATGGTGAGATGGACGAGTCACTGGAACGTCTTGGGCGAATTGTGCAGGCCGCAAGCAGTGTCACTGCTGGCAACGAGGCCACGTACATTGAGTAGCTCTCGAAGCAGTTCCACGAACTACGTGCAGCGTTTGCCCGACAGCGGGCACCGCCATCCTCATCAGCGACTGCAGTGGCCCACACAGTACCAGTACCAGACACACCCACGGCATGGGACGCACAGATTCCCTCTGAGGATCGGGACATGGACCTGGGCCAGCGTGACGGCACGTGACACTGACAGTGGCATCGTTTGCCTGGCGATCTCGACGCACATCGGCGTTGTCGAGCTCGCTAACACTATGCCGCGACAGCACGCGGACGGAAGCATCCTACCTTTGGGGCCGATCGAACGCAGTCATCCTGATGACGGTTTTGGTTCACAGCGGCTCCCACAACCTGGAGTGCGAGCAGTTTTGCCTGCAACAGGGGCGCACAACGTGTGCTATCCCCATGCAGAAGCTCAGCTACCTCAGGGACGTGACAGTACCACAGTTTTGGCGGGTATCGACCTTGCGACGTGGGAAGCACGGATACAATTGAGATCGAGTGACAATGGGATCGAGACAGGCGAGTCGACGCAAGCCACCGCAGCCTGCAGCTCGAATGGGACGCAAAGGGAATCCTCAATCCCGTCTGCGGGCGTCGGTGCCAAGTCTGAACAGAAGCCTCAGGCTTCGCCTCCTCTGCTTGCCAGTGGTCGGCCAGGGGAGGGTTCGGATGCGGCATGTAACTCGCAGGCTAACAGGGAGGTGTTCGTCCGCCACGATGCTGGACCAGGCAGGCTGCGGCACAGAGCGCCGAAGCGGACTGCCGACCTATGCATGGTCACATTCAACAGCTCAGGATGGCCTCAGCTTCAGGACTTCCTGCAGACCACTCGCGGCTACTCCATCGTCGCCGCCCAGGAGCTACATTTACATGGGCCTCGCCGACTGATTGCTGAAGAATGGCGTGCGAGGAACGGCTGGCAACCGTTCATTTCAGATGCGATCCCGACAGACACGGGCCACTTCACTGCAGGCGTCGGTCTCTTCGTCCGCAAGAACATACATGTAATCCCACTGGAAGGGATGGTCCGAGGACACACGATTATTCTAGGATATGCAGTCGGTGTGATTGTGCAAGCGGGCATGCGGGGTGGTTTCCTCGCAGCACCTCTGCACCTGGAACAAGGTCAGCGACTCGGGGGACGTAACACGGCACGGCTCGCGCATCTCGGTGCGCTTCCCAGTTACTGTGCGACGCCGTTCGTCGTGGCAGGAGATTGGAATGCCCCGCCCGATGCCATGGTCAACTCTGACTATCCACTGCGACTGCGGGCAGTTATTCATGCAGGG